TGCTCTCAGCTCCACTTACCTCACAAGGTGCCTGTTGTGGGGAGAGAAAGGGAAGGAGATTGTAAGCTGCTTTGAGACTCCTTAAGGTAGAGAAAAGTGGGAAGTAAAAACCAGCTCTTCTTCTTCATCATCCTTAGCAGGTCCACTTAGGTCTGTTCAGTTAGGCTTACTCCCAGGGAAGTATTCTTAGGATTGCATTGCTAGTGTGCATGTCTCTTTGTGGTGAATGCTAGGAATCCCAAGCATGAACAAACAGGCTTTAGATTGAGTCAATAGTGTTTGCTTTAGTTCTGTGATATGGTGCATTTGATACATGAAAATGGTGCTGAATCTTTAGAGTCCTGCAGGTGAGTGATAGTATTTTGGAGCTGAGGAGAAACAATTTAGCCTATTTAAGAATTTTGTTATACCAGATTGGATCAGTGGTTATCACTAGTGGCCAGTAGTTAACTTCTAATGGACTTTTGGCTTCCAAATATTTTGGTATGGCAATTATCTAGGTGTCGAGTTATAAAGGTGAATGGTTTTTGACCTTTAAATCAGGGGTGTCAAACTCATTTGTTATGAGGGATAGATTTGACATAAATTGGATTTGACATAAATTAGGCCGGGCCATGTGTTTCATAAAATGTAACGCCAGGTAGCAGAGAGATAAACTTTATAAAGACACTGAAAAACACAAAGATATTATAGCAGCTATTCCATTGGAGCCCTACATTAGGAGGGTGTGTGTGTGTTAAAACTAATATTCCTTTGCAAAACTGAAGCTCCTTGAGTTTGTTGAACTCTATTTTAAATGTGGTTAGTCCCAAACCTCCCCCCCCCCCGAAATATAAACTACAAATATGAATGGTCTGAGCCTAGGACCCAGGGGAAGAACATGAAACGGCTGAGCACTGCAAGCTCCCCCCCCCGCCCCCGATCTACTCAGAGTGGCAGTGGCTCTCTAGGGTCTCAGAGGGTTTTTTACAGGGTGGTTTGAGATAATAATTTTGGGTGTCCTCTTCAGGACTTGTTGTTGTTGTTCAGTTGCACAATCGAGCCCGACTCTTTGCAACCCCATGGACTACATCATGCCAGGCCCTCCTGGCTTCTACTGTCCTCCAGAATTTGCCCAACGTCATGTTCATTGCCTCGATAACACTGTCTAACCATCTCATCCTTTGCCGCCCCCTTCTTCTTTTACCTTCAATCTTTTCCAGCATCAGGGTCTTCAGTGAGTGCTCCCTTCTCATTTGGTGGCACTTGTTCTGATATCCCACTGGAGCTCTACATTAGGAGGGTGTGTGTGTTAAAACTACTATTTCTCTGCAAAACTGGAGTCCCCCTGAGTTTGCAGAACTCTATATTTTAACCCTATATTTTAACTCTATATTTTCCCAAACCTCTCCCTCCCCCCCGCCTTTAAAACATGCCTGCCTAAACTGGAAAGGTGGGGGAATAGCGGGATTTTGCAAAGCCAGTTTTAAAATAAAAAAGAAGCACAGGGATTACAGCAGAAGGAACCCCCCCCCCAGCTCCTACCTGTGACGAGGACTATGGAGGCTGGGAGAGGTGGCTGGGAAGTTTGGCAGCCCCACCCTCTGCTCTTTATACTTCCAGGCAGCTCAAGCTGAGAACAATGAGGATGGGCAGGGGAGGGGGGAGAGGAGAGAGCCCCACTTCCAGGCCAGATTAAAAGCTTGGGTGGGCCGGTTCTGGCCCACAGGCCATAGGTTTGACGCCCCTGCTTTAAATGAATGGTTTGGGAAAATCTTTTCTTAGAACATTAGTTATAAAATCACAATTTTCAGTGAAGGATTCCTAACAAAAGGGGCTGAATGACGAGCAATATCTGTTGACATGGAAGTTGCCCTGAGCCCATTGGGGAGGGCGGGGTATAAATGCGAAAAATAAATAAATAAGTGTTGGCTTTGCTCTACACTAAATTTTTTGATGACAGAATGGAACTTCCCTGCCTCCCCTGCCCACTGATCTCCATGAAATGCTGGTCCTGGGGAATAGGGAGGGGAGTCTGCGGTGAGAAGGGAGAATAGTTGGAAATTGTTATTTAGTCTGGATCTAATCTTTAATCAAATTTCTATTGAAGGGGAAAAAGCACTCATCCCCCCCTGTTATCATACTTGAAATATCTTTTCCGCCTAGGGAGTTGTATAGTGAACTAATTTTATGCTGTGATAGCACACCTTTTCAGGTTGAGAGTTCTAGAGTGACGGAGCAATGTTCTGTTTGTAAGAATCAAGAAAAAGAAAAATACATGCAGTTCCTATTTAAATACAAAAGCTTTATCTATGCTGTTAATCTAAGGAATAATAATTGGATAGAAACTGCCTGGCTCAATTGAGACATCAATCAAATCACCGTTTGGTTCTCAGTTATTGTAAACACAAACCACAATTTGGAATTACAAAAGATAGAAGCAAACCCTTGTTTAGATTCCTGTATGTTTTTATTTTATGTTTTCTCAGTGCTTCTGTTTCTATGGTGCAGCTTTCTCCTGAAGTGGTGCTACAACTAACTATGAATTGTCAATTCAGTTATATAGTCAGTTGTACTTGGTACAGACCATGGTTGCAAGTGTGCTTCAAGCCATGGTTTGCGGATTTTGGCTTGCTGGCCAATTGCAAACTATGGTTTTGACTATTCAGGCAGTGTGTGAAGCCGTATATCAACCTGCAGTGGTTTAGAGTGATACTTGAATTGAGTTAGAGTCTAGAAACAGGTAACATTATACAATCTGGGCTATTTAATATCGAAGACAGGATTTGATTGTCATCTGGCACAGGAAGGAGCAGGTGGCTTATTTATAAAGGCAGAACAAACTGTGAAACAGCACTATACATGTGGTATACATGCAGTGCAGTCAAATTCAAAGATGGAACATGAGAGGTAGAAATTCTGGAGTACTCAACCAGGAAATCAGAAGGAGGCTGAGATTGGGAAGGGCAGCTATGAAAGAACTAGAAAAAGATTCTTGAGTGTAAGGACGAGTCACTAGTGACCAAGACCTAGTTAAATTATGCCATAATTTATTTTATTTATTTATATAAGTATTTTTACCCCGCCCTACCCCGCAAGCGGGCTCAGGGCGGCTTACAAGGGGCATAAGCCCATACATAAAACCAATAATATCTCCCAGTACTATGTATGGGTGTGAAAGTTGGACAGTGAAGAAAGCTGTGAGGGGAAGAAAGTTGATTCATCTGAAGTGTAGTGTTGGAACGAGGAAAGTGATGCTCAGAATCTTACAACAAAGACTATTACCATATATGGAGTGAGAAATGCCAGAAGTTCAAGTTGGGTTCAGGAAAGGAAGAGGCACTAGAGATCATTTGCAAATGTACGGTGGTTACTGCAGCATTAGAGAGAATTTCATAGATTACAGCAAATCTTTTTACTGTGTAGATCATGAATAGCTGTGGCTGGTTTTAAAAGAAATGGGTGTGCCACAGCATCTGATTGTTTTGATGCGCAACCTGTGTTCCAGACAAGAGGATACTGTTAGAATACAATATGGAGAAATATCCAAGATTTTCTATTCCTTGGCTCCATCACCAACAAAAATGGAAAACTGCAACCAAGAAATTAGGAGATTGAGTTTACAGATACTGTGGGCTGCCGAAAAGACAAATAAGTGGATTGTAGATGAAATCAAGCCAAACTCTTGCTAAAATAACTAAACTGAGGCGACCATATTTTGGTCACATCATGCAGAGACCAGGCTCACTGGAAAAGACAATAATGCTAGGAAAAGTCGAAGGCAGCAGGAAAAGAGGAAGGCCCAACATGAGATGGATTGACTCTATAAAGGCAGCCAGAGCCCTCAGTTTGTAAGTCCTGAGTAAGGACATTCATTCCTAGGATTGCCATAAGTCAGAAGCGACTTGACGGCATTCAACACACACACACACTTCTGCTATAGTGTTTTTGTCACTATGTTTAAAATCAGAACCGGTGTTCACTATTGCAGCTATTGCAAACTCAAATTAGCTTGTACGTCTGTATTGTTTTTGCTTTGCCCACATTCATGATTGAGTTCTCAAACAGAACAGTTATATATTTAAATCTGAAAGCTACTGTTCAGACTGTGACACCTTTCTTAGGCACTGCAGGTACTAAACTGCTTAATATAACTATGTAGACACTGATATCACTGTTTATATAGAACCATTGTGCACAGTCACTGAGCTTATTTTGTATACTTCTGAGATTTGCACAGAAATGTCCAACGGTATAAATCTTGTATT